ACGTCCGCAGGCTGGTTGGCTGATTTGTGGAAAGGTGTTTCCTTGTAAATGAACCAGCAGTTCCCGCTCCACAGGATGAGGTTAAGAAAACCAAAAATCTGCCACAGAAAGAGACAGAATCAAATAACGTGAGCTGTTGTACATACACATGTTTATGATGTCTGAAAAACACTAATTTTCACGAGACTTACCACAGAGGCATTTAGCCGGCCCATGTGAGGGACAGCTCCCTGGTGCACTTGTTGGGCTTACAAACTTCGAGAAGGTGACAATTGTTGAAGGGCTGGTGGCCCACTTCACATCTGACAAGCCTTTAGCCCATGCAGAGGAGGATGTCAACCACAGGAAAGCAAAGGCAGCAGTCACCAACAGGTCCTTTGAGAGAAAAACAGTATAAAACCCTTTAAGGCTATCACAGTGGTAGTTTCACTCTAGGACATTTCTCAGAAAGAAACTGGCTAGCGCAGTTGTTAAACACACCCTTCCCACAGTTCCATTGACACAACTCTGTTAAATGCACTTTCTCTGACCTCCAGAAGGTTTTCCAGGATGAAGCAGACTCCACCAGCTGATGCCAGTTGCAACATTTTAAACTCAGAAAATGTACTTTAAATACTGCCTGTGTAGATAACCTCCATTCATCCTTTTATATCAGCTTTCATCACGATTGGATTGACACAGCAGCTTAAGTAAAAAAAACATTCAGTAAAATACATACCACAGTGGGACCACGACTAGTAGCTCTATACACATGCTGGTAACCTAAGTAGAGGACCAGTGTGCCAGTGCAGTAGAGAAAGGCAAACACTCCAATACAGACGAAAAACTGTGCTGAAGACTTGTGGTCCCCAGTCAGGTACGCAGTACTGACACTCTGATTGTTGCAGCTGGGGACAGCATACGGATGGTCCATCAACCTGTGTAAACACAAATAGAACTTTTTGAATTTATACAATCCTAAAAGTAAACATATGGTCTCCCTCACTGTTAACAGGTTGTGTGAGTGTGCTTCTGTTTGCTCACGCAGACACACCTGAACGGGTAGTTAAACTCTGCATGTATGTCTTGACGGTCACATGCCCCTGGCACTCGACAAAGACTTGGTTGTGCCGCTGTAGCCTCCTGTCGTTGCAAAGGCAAATATGGCAAACACCTGTGGCCAAAGGGACAAGATAAGAGGGACACGTTAGCATATGGGGACGTTCAGGACAGAGTGCTCGATTTGAATGTGGTTGAGATGTGCTGGCTTGCGTTTGTGTGCGTGTGCCGGTGTATGCGTTTGTACTTATTTTATATTTTATGCTGCACCTGGATTGCTCCAACAGAGTTTGGCTGTATTACATGCAATGACAATAAAGCTATGTCTATCTATCATACATTTACATGCACACTTCCCTTTATTTCATGTAACACACACTAAACAGGAAATCCTTGTCTTACTCACAGATGTCATCACAGTGAATGGCGTGCAAAGTTGACACAAGAACCACATTAGAGCACCATGAGGTAGTAAAACAGTGTTTAATCCTTTATTGGAAGTCAAATAACATCACCTGACGGGGAGAAAACGCTGTCTAAACGTTTTATTTGGCTAGAAATATTGTCAACAAAAGTATTTTTCTACATTGCAAGATACAACTGTGCTACTTTACACACGCTAACTTCAATTAGCTTTCAGTTTATATAAGCTTATTTGTGTTTATATGTCAGGATTTGAATGTGCCGATCTGAAGGAAAAGAAAAAAAAAAAAGAACTGCACATACCATATTTGAAACGGTGTTGCAACTCACAGGATGGGTCATTTAGCTTAAACAGGCGTGCAGTGGGTCACAAGACAAAACTGCAGAATCAATTTGAAAGGTACTTTTGCGACCAGGGATGGAAAGCTCACGTCGGCTAGATGTTACCCCGCCATTGACCATATGGTAAGAAAAGGTTGGAAAGAAACTTACCCATTCTAGCACACGGATAAATGCCAGCGGCTCCTTCAAAGGCCCCAAGTCTAAAGTGAACCCCGAGTTCAGCACTTTCTGTTGAGTCAAACAACATATCATGAAAAAACGAGCCCGTTATATACAGCGAAATATGTCACACACGAATAGTGCAGTAAGGTATTATAATATGCGCCATTAGTCGGGTTTTTTTTTTTTTTTTCCCACTCCCCTCAGCTCCCTTACCTGGGCGACGGATTCCATCGTTAATTCCGAGTAAAAAAAAACAAACCCCGCTGTTATCGATTATTTGACACCTTTCCTGGTCTTTTGCAGCTCTTTCGGGGCGCTACTTCGGACTTGTCAAACTTATCTCCAACTTCAGTGACTCGTAGTATAAAACACGTGATCAGTGACGTCAGGGCGTCGAGAGGGGCGCTGCGGAGGCGAGTAGAGAAAGCAGTGAAAGTGGTGATTTTTTTTTATTTTTTATCTGTATGTAGGCTATAATTTGATTTCCTGTTGTTAACGAAATTGTGGTTAAGCGGATTTTACTGCACCTTTATATGAAGAGTTTTAAATAGTCCTAGGTTTGGATTTGTGTAAGGACGAAAATACGAGTAGGCTATTTAAATCCCTGACTGGGTTAAAAAAAAAAAAGACAATTAGCATACTTTGGTGCAGCAATTTTGCAGAGTTTAAATGAATGCATAATTTAATACAAATAATAATAATATTTAAATAAAGGCTATTATTGGATGGTGATTATTAATGCACGGATATTGAACTGTATGGCATAACTAAGGTGGACCTAGTTAAAAAAAAATACCCGGAATATATCCTATTATTTCTGCAAGTGACTGAAGACTGCTCATGGTCAGAGTCCCTTTTTTATTTCATAGAAAGTACTTAAATTTGTCACTTAATCACGAAATTTGTTAGTGATAAAAACAGACAACATAAAGGGACGCTGAGTCTAAATAGGAATGATGTGGCACCCTTGTCTTGTAGAGAAGGCAGATAACCTACTGGGGTTTATAATGTGTTCCCATGTGCACATTTATTAATTGATTAAGTTTAGTCAATGTCACTGCAATGGTATTACACTTTCACTTGGGGTCGCCATTTCCACAGACAGCACCCAAGTACGAATAAACTAACCCTTTTATACAAAGCAAACCATGTGTTTCCCATGACTGTCATCAGTGAAGGCTGATCTAATTCACACACATGTATGTCCATGTTGTTTTTTTAGTTTGGGTCAATAGGAATGCTTATTATTGGGCTTGGAATGTAGAGTAATTTAATCACATCCATCCCTTCCCTTCCCCATTTTTGTATACCTGTGTGTGTGTGTGTGTGTGTGTGTGTGTGTGTGTGTGTGTGTGTGTGTGTGTGTGTGTGTGTGTGTGTGTGTGTGTGTGTGTGTGTGTGTGTGTGTGTGTGTGTGATTTATTCAGAAAGGCTTGTTTCTTGTCTGGGAACATCTCGAAGGAATAAATGTTGCTTTGTTCTCCACCTTTAATAGTTGACTGGGCTGCCATGGGGGAAGGGCTGCTACTCCTTTGTACAATCCCCTTGTGGAGGAATGCTGCTCTACAGATCAAATTGTTGAGCTTTTTGAGTGAATCTTGGTATCAAGAAATACACTAAGAAGACGTTAAACTTAAACTTCATGACGCAATAAGGCACTTTGAGTGTGCCCAAATTGTCCAAGGTTTCAGGGAAACTTGCTAAACCGGTTTTTATTTTTTGCTGAGATCAGGCTACACCTTGAATTGTTGCTGCATAACTTGCAAACTTGTCCAACGGGTTGGGCCACACTGAAGGGTAAACATGAGACTAATCAAATATTCAGCAAGACAATCTGATCAGTTCCTCCTGCATCTTACTGACACAGCTTCAGTTACCACGCTGGTGTGACAAAGCAACAATGTCCCATTATGAATAACTGGAGGTTTTAAGGAGAGATGAGCTTGCACACTTTCAGAAAAACCTTAGACGAATTATGTGTTTATATGTATTACATTTTTGGTCTGCACTTTTAATATATATCGTTCAGGACCAAGGCAGCTATGATTTTAGGTTTCTTCCCCCCTGCAACACATGACCAGTAGTCATGGGTTTGTTGAGAACCACTGCCCCATCACATGCACACATTTAATCAAGAGCAATATGACCCACTGCAACCAATACATATAATTTAAGAATGCAACTGTGTGTACACAAAAATCCTCTCTAATTAGCAAATAACATTTGATAGAAAAGTTAGTGTTCCTCCTTGTAGGAAGAAGCAAAACTTAAATTAAAAACCCAAGGTAGCTTAACAGTTTTCAATAAACTGTATTCATCTGCATGTAATATGTGATTACATTAAAATTATCACATGACAAACAGATCACTATTTGCTTCAACTGGTTTTTATAATTTTGTAAAGTATTGTTATAGACTTGCATAAATAGTCAATGAAATACTCACTATAAACAGGATATTGATTTATCGATTGCTGGATTGGAGGTGAGATCACGTCAGTGTTATTTATCTTTGCTTAATTCTGGCAATATCCAGATGTTTAATCCATTTTAAACAAGGCAAACATTTAGCAAAAGGCCCACACCGCTAAAATTCACACTTCATTTCAATACTGTCCTTATTTCTTTAATAAACCCATCGGGCCTACTTGCTTTCGAGGTGACAGATGAGTGACCTAGCCAATTAATTATAAAGCAGCTTTGACGCATATGGGAACCAATCTGTGTTGATAAAGCGCATCTAATTTCACGGTCATCCTCGAAAGACATGTTTGATTGTTAAAAAAAAAAAAATCAATTTAAAAAGCGAACAGTCACAAAAAGCACACACTTTCGCTTTTAATTAAGTTTCAGATAGAGTTACATGATAGTATTGCTCAACCTATCTTCATTGGCTTTGACGTCTAATTGTGCTGCTCTTCTGTTTGTCCCCGCCTTTTTCACGATGCAACCAATCAAAACATTGGATAGGAGGACTAGGTAGAAGGCCAGCCAATTACAGAGCCTCTTCGCTGCTTTGACTGTATACGACCCGCAGACACAATTTGTGTGCTCGTTACAGTGTATCATGTAGGGTAAGGTGTAGCAGGACGATTAATTAATGTTAGCTCTATACTCCAGTATATCAGGGAAATTTCGTTTTTCTCTGTTTAGATAGTTCAACCACTGCCGCGTGTTGAGACAGTAGTGCGCTTTGAGGGCGCTCCGTGTTTTCAAAGCCCGAAATAGTCGCTGTCAGGACTACTGTTTTGTTGATGTCATCCGCGGCAGAGCTGTAGCGACCTTCAATTTCAAGACAAGACCGGGATAAACAAAGACTCGTTTTTGGCTGTCATTTCGCCTTTTGTTTTGTGTGTCTTCTGTTCGTGACACCATCACCGAGGATGGGACTTTTGCTGCCCTTTCTCCTGCTGTTATCTGTTTCCACTTTCACAGCCGGTGTAGATTTTCAGCAGGGATCCAAACCCTTCGGACAGTCGCTTTTCGTGAAGCGTTCATACATTGAGGAGAAAGCGTCGAGAATCGTCAAGCGGTCTCTGCCTGCATGGCTGGCGGCATCGCCGAACCACAAGATAAAACGGAGAAGTGTTGAGCTGGGCGATTCCTGCAAAGCTCTGCAAGGATATGACACCAAGTTAGCAGACAACACCCACCGTGTAAGTTACCCAGTGAGGTCCTGTTACTCTTCACACGTCTCGCAATTAAATGTGACAAGAGAGGATGATGCGCAGGTGCTCACCTGGTGCACTAAAGGGCCTAATCAGCTATTCACTGTGTGATGGGATGTTTTCCGTTCAACTGTGAGCCTTGAAGCTCAGGATATCAGTTAGCGTTTTGCATTTTAGATTTACTAAATCATTATACTAGGCCTACATGTATTATCATCAATAGGTAGCAGAGCAGGAAGTTGTGGCTTATCCCACACATTCTCTCTGCAACAGTCATTGATTGCACCTTTTCGCCTTTTTCTCCATCCATGTTTGACTGCGTTGACTTTTATTCCTTCACATTCGATTCAAGGAGTCACAGATATGGTGCTGACTCAGAAATAACGCCTATTTTTCCTCATGCTTTAAGACCTACGTATGCTCCATTGTAGCACAACCAGACCGGTTTACCTCTCATGCTCCAATGATGGGTGTGACCTATATCTTATTCTTCTCAAGGATGCAGCTGTAGTCTGTATTTGAGGATCCCTCTTGCCTCTGCCTTCAATGAGAGTTAATGTTGACAGAGAAATGTCCCCCTTGGGAATCCATGTGACCAGCTGTGTGGTAGTTATTTAGTAATTAAAGTTGTGTTTGTGTGGGTAGTGAACTGCAGGAAGCAGGCAGAGTGTCTGCACAGTGTAGGCTATGTTAAGTTTCAACAGATGTGTAATGGATGTCACTGTTTAAGCACAAAAGGAAGATAATGACAGAAATGAAAACAGCTTAGAAAGTGTCCAAGCGAATATGCAATGCTCTCTTTATAAAAGCAAACAGGAGACTGACCTTGGCACAGTCCTGCCCTGCTTATTTGCCTAGCTCCTCATAGCCATGTGATCAACTTTGCATTGCACTCTTTGTATGGTTGCTAATCTAAAGTCGACAGAATTCCAGAAACGGCTCAGCCTTCTCATTCCCCACGAGGTTTTGCAGACTTTTACATCAAACAGCTGACTCAGTGACAATGATGACATTTTTGCAGAACCACACTGTTAAATGAAAGGAAAGCGCAAAAAAAGACTGTCTAAGTGAAAGTCTGGTTCCTTATCTTCTTTAAATGTGGTATTATATAGTTGTATTCAGAAGTCTGTGCCACATCCTCACTGAAATTCTTGTCTGGTCTGATATGTGGTGCCTAATTGTTTCACTTTCTCATCCCTGCTCGAACACACTGTGGGAGAGCCCGTAGATGCAGGAATACAGTGTGGACAAGTTAGAATAAAGTTTAACCTGAGGTTATGACAGCTGAGAAGTTTTCATTAGTTGTTATTTTGTTTTGTGTTTACGTTTTGTTTTTAATATCAGAATGTTATAATATATTTAGTTAAGTTTGACTACTTTTTTGTGTTAGATTTCGGGGTTTCATGTAATATGGGATACCTGTCAGAGGTGAGAACCAAAAGGTCTACATAAATTCTGGGATCAAAATGTCAAAATTATACAGTAAAAAAAAAAGTATTCAGATACAAAAGAGGGACAACCACAACCACTCGGCTTATGTATGATATGGATTCACAAAGACGAAAGCTGAACAAATATTCTCTTATTTATATTCTATTTTAGTTAGCTCAGTTAGCATCATTTTCTATTTTTGTTTCAGTTAAAAAAAAAATGTATTTTTCATTATTTTGTGAGTTTTTTTGTTTACGATAATAACATTGTAAGTTACACATATATTCATAAATACCTGCTTAATGCTGTAGTCATTTCATGTAATGTAGTTGTGGTATCATTCTCAGATACTGTTTACAATGCGGTTTTGGGTATCTTGAATATTCAGATCCATGCATTGATCCGATACCATGACAAACGAATCCTAAAGTACTCATTCCATGTAAATGATCATGTGAGAGCAACAGTGTGGTGCTAACAGTGAGTGTTAGTTCATCAAAGATATACAAAGTGTTTTTCCATAAATGTATTAGTGTCTTTTATTGAATCGCACTAGTATCATAGGGGGACTTGGTATTGGCCACTACGCTATACTATAAGAGTGGTATCTGAACATCTCTGCTGCTGAATATGTCTACTTTTAATGTATTTGAACATTTCGTTGCTATTGTTTTCAGTATTCCTTCAATGACCTGAGTGGGTCCGTGTCGCTGGCCTGGGTTGGAGATGGCACAGGGGTGAGTGTTGGACTCTTACATTTCATCTCGTGTGTAGTGTTGTTCCTCTGTGACATACAGTGGACAAACATGGCTGCATTATTCAGCGGGCTGTGTGCATCTGACAGATTGTTTTTATGGGTGACATAACAAGTTCTCCATTCTCTACTTTTTTCTTTGTAGGTCATTCTGGCTCTGACTACATTCCAGATCTTTCCCTTCTTCATGTTGAAATTTGGACAGTCCAAACTCTATCGGAGGTAAATGTCATGATCTCAACGGTTCGAGAAAAAAAAAATCACTTGTTTTGTATCTGATTTGTTTCTAATTTGGCTGCAATCTCGTGTCTGACAGCGAGAACTACGGGAAGTCATTCCAGGATGTGACTGAGCTCATCAACAGCACCTACATCAGATCAGAGTTTGGAATAGCTATCGGGCCGGAGAACTCTGGGAAAGTGAGTCATCCCCAAATCAAGCTCTTCCAGTTGTTCACTCATGCTGTGATCTAAAAATGTGGCGCTGTGCTTCTCCACTAACTCACCTTCAGCGTCTTTATCTTGTCTTGACTTTTTGGGTTCATAGGTCCTCCTGACAGCAGAGGTGTCCGGAGGTCTTGCGACTCGGATCTTCGTGTCGGAGGACTTTGGGAAGAGCTTCACTCAACAGGACTTGCCCTTCCTCCCCATGATGCAGATGACATACAACCCGTACGACTCCAACGTGCTGCTGGTCCTCAGCAACAGTGTAAGAATGAATGTGAAGAAGCTTTGATTGGAATGAACTGTGGATGTAGGTCAAGGTATATATACACTTGAAAGCTCTATTTCTCAGATTAGAAGATCCTTTTTAGTGTGTCATTAATTTAAGAAGCTGATCGACCTTTCTCGTGCTCTGTTGTAAAACTCCTAATCAAACATCAACTCATTTCCTCATAGCGGAAAGATAAACCTTCTGATAAACCTTTCAGTGTTAACACAGAGTCATTTTATGGACATGGCTTTGGCGTTTATGGCTAGCTCTAGTTTACCCAGCTCTGTGTGACCTATATAAACATGGTGTCATTGCAGCTGAATCATAAGTAACTCATTCCATCGTTTCTTTTGTGTTCTCAGTATGAACTTTGGCTATCTGAAGATTTCGGCAGCAACTGGAAGAAGCTGCATGACATGGTGTGTCTGGTGAAATGGTAAGAGAGAGACTTTCTCAGGTGTTCAGTGAACAAACAGACGAGCTATTCATATCCCCTCAGTGTCCTTATGCATAAGGAAAATATTTCTATTTAGTCAGATCAAGGAGTATTGAAAACACTCTCATTATTTGGGTATGTAGCAAAGATTTCACATCATCTGTAAGTTGTTCCTCTTTTAAGTTCCTCCAAACATTATGACAGGTAATGGAAGGCAGAAGTTTCACCTCTCTCTACTAGTCTTACTGGTCTTTACTCGTGATCATATCTGTTTCAAATTCCTCAGAGTAATCTAACTTGCTCTCCCTTGCTCACAGTTGTAAGATTTGTCAAAATATATAAAAATGAACCGGAAAGAAGCTCAGCCACTTTTATAGTTGCTGCACCCTTGCAAAATAGGCGGTAAAAGTTTCCTGTCATTGGGTGACTTTTCAAACAGGTCTCCCGTGGCCAAGCCCTCACAGAGCTGTTGTTGTTTTGGAGGAAACATCCTGGTGTCTATTGCTTAGTAACTTGGCAGCTCTGATTGTCTTTTAAGTTTCAGTTTTAATGCTGTGTTATCAAATTCAGCATGCCCAAGTGAGCTCCATGTCTCTCTGAAACATGACCCTTTTGTTGCTATTCCAAAGACACATTACAGGGAAATGGGTCATTGAGAAGTGGGGCAGGAGCTGTCTGAAGTCAAAACACACCCACTGAAAAGAAAGCACATATTTAAGAAGGGCATGGCTGTATGCTGGTCTTATTTGATAGGTCAGGTCAGATGATGCCTCTTTCACAGTCAGGCAATACTTATTGACAAAAGATCATAAATGCATCAAGAATCCTGTATGAGACTGCTCCTCAGCATTTCCAACTCACATTCTGTAGGTTTGTGAGATTTAAGCACCCAGAGCTGTCATTCCGTCTTAAAAAAAAAGAATAATATATAAATATAATAAAACACATCTTTATGGACTTAATTGTGGGTGTCTGCTTTTCTAAAATGATTGTTGCTTTTTATTTTGATTCCAGGGGAAGGAAAAATTCCATCTTCTTTACAACCAGCCTCAACGGATCCTGCAGTAAGTAACAAAAAACACTTTTATTGATTTATTTATTTATACACGGTATACACATGTTTATTATTAAGAAGCAGCATAATAATAAGAGTTTTTCCAATACCAATTTCACAATAGGCCCTCCATTCTGTCTCAAATGTTACATGAGTGCTACATAATACTAGAGATTATGTACTGTACTTATTGATCTTTCGGAGGAATTTGGTTAAGGTATTGACAACAACAATGTTGAAATGGACAATGCTCTCTGTTTGTCAAACATGTCAGCCATCTGTGTTTTCCAACAACATCTGTACAAAAAGTTTTATCTGAATATGTAGACAGAGTGATATTGAGGCAACAAATGAATAATCGATTAAGAGACTGAAATTAAAATATATCTGATCAGATAAAGTATTGTGTCGATGTTCTTATTTACTGATTTAATCTCAAACTCTTAAGTTAGGCTCATGAGCTCACTTTATTTAATGCGCTTTTTTAAGTTTCCCTTTTAACATTCCAGGTGAACGGGGGATGCTCGAGCTGAAGAGGACTACCGACTATGGCAAAACCATCAAGACTGTCGCCACTAAGATCTACTCATTTGGTCTGGGCGGACGTTTCCTCTTTGCCTCAGTAATGACAGGCAAGGTCAGTATACAGCAGGTTCAAATGATCTTCATCTGCATCTACGAGCTTAATGTGTGCTCCAGGCTCATGTGGATTTATTATATTTAAATTACACATCTCTTATGACACCTGTTTCAACCTATTTGAATTCCCTGGGTTTAGTAGTAAATTTGCCCCTCTAAACTAGTTTATTTTCTCTTTATTCACACTTTTTCTTTCCTCTTTTTTTTCCTTTCCCTAACTCCTCTCTGTCTGCAGGGAACCCTGAGGATGATCTACGTGTCAGTGGATCACGGCGAGACGTGGAACATGGCCCAGCTGCCACCCGTGGGTCACGAGCAGTTTTACTCTATCCTGGCAGCGAACGATGAAATGGTTTTCATGCATGTAGACGAGCCAGGAGGTCAGTCCAAACAGAAATCTCCCACATAGACACTCTATTTATTTATTTAGTAGTATAGAGTTACATATCTGTTCATTTGTCATCATTGCAATATTTCAAATGTCCCATGTTTCTGTAAAAGACGTTGACATTATCTTGCCCTCCACAGACACAGGTTTTGGTACCATCTATGTATCAGATGACCGGGGCACCGTGTACTCCAAGTCACTGGAGCGCCACCTTTACACCACCACGGGAGGTGATACAGACTTCACCAACGTCACCTCCCTGCGAGGAGTTTTCATCACCAGCGTCCTAGCAGAAGGTAGATCTTTTCATGTTCCTGTGTTTGATGAAGAAATATCAACACATGCCTGTACTCAAATTCCCATCAGGCAACACAAACATGTACATCTTCTCCATTACATACCAGAGGGAGGGTGTTGGGTAAATATTTAATTAGCTGTTCAGTGTTAGATGTACAGTCTGTGTGAAGCGGCTGTTTGTGGAAATATCTCCCAACACCAGCTAAATCTTACCTCCATCGTGTCTGCTGCTCCAGTAGTAGTTTTTTTACCCCTACTGTTCACATGGCCTTTCATTATTGATATAATTGTTCAGTGACAATGTGGGTCTGACACTTAGTGTATTATTGTTTACTCCTAATTAGTTTAGATTGTTGAGGTGACTGAGTTTCCCTCTCTTGTTGTTGCAGACAGCTCGGTGCAGTCTGTCGTGTCCTTTGATCAGGGAGGGGAATGGGTTCCCCTGCAGAAACCTGCCAACACTAAGTGTGATGCTACAGCCAAAGACCCAGACAAGGTAAAGAGACGATATGGATATCTGGAGAAGTTTTTTTTTTTTTTTAATGGTCTGGATAAAAAGTGTGTATATTTTAAGGTTAAAGGCAATGACTGGCTTTATCCTTTAAGGATTTATGGTGTTCTGAACTTAGAAAACAAGCTCTTTTATTTGTATCTTTTACTTTTCATAGCGTTTGTACTGAAAACAGTTTGACACCACATGCTGCTTGTGTTTGTGTCTACAGTGCAGTCTTCACATCCACGCAGCCTACAGCACTGCCATGAAGCTGAACATCCCCATGCTGCCTCTGAGTGAGCCAAACGCTGTGGGTCTCATCTTAGCTCATGGTAAGTCTCTGATCAGTGCTTTCATACCAGTGTCCCTTAGTGAGTTTACAAATAATTGTTTCTAAATTGAATTAACAATATATCCTGTTTCTTTTTTACCACCTGACATCTCTGTGTTTTTTTTTTTTTTTACCAGGGAGTGTGGGTGATGCCATCTCAGTGATGAAGCCTGACGTGTATGTGTCTGATGACGGGGGCTACACTTGGATAAAGGCCCTCGATGGGCCCCATCACTATGCCATCCTGGACTCTGGAGGGCTCCTGGTTGCGGTAGAGCAAAGCACCAACCAACCTATTGACAAGATCAAGTGAGTTCCTTTTACAGTCAGTTGCAGCCAGTCATTCATTTTCATATTTACACCAGTGCCTTTCTTACTGACACAAGTTCAAATGTCATCCATTTACTCCAAACACAATACCTCCATAGCGTTTGGACCAAATGTAACTGGACATAAGGTTTGTTTTTGTGATGTAGTCCATCACAATAGATGTAACAACTCTAAAGTCTCTTGCCATTTGGGATTCATACAAAATGTTTAATGCTAATACTGCATGTTATATGTGACTCCCTCTTATGTGTTATTGGTTTAATGTAATGTTTTTGAGCTAATGCTAACGCCTGCACATTCCTTGATATCTGTACAGATTTTCTACCGATGAAGGACAGTGCTGGGGTGTGTACACGTTCACTAAAGAACCCCTCTACTTCACTGGTCTGGCCTCAGAGCCGGGAGCTCGCTCCATGAACGTCAGTATCTGGGGCTACAGAGACTCCCTCCTCAGCCAGTACTGGATCTCCATCACCATCGACTTCAGGGAACTTCTCACCAGAGACTGTGAGTCACACAGTACAACCAATTCTTTTTCATGCACTTGTGGAAACTTCAAGTATCAATATTATTTGAGGTTTTATGTTAATGGAGAAAACAATACCTATATTTGTAGGTGAAGATAAGGACTATGTGCAGTGGTTGGCGCACTCTGATGACATCAGTGACCCTAACGACGGCTGCATGCTGGGTTACAAAGAGAAGTTTCTGCGTCTCAGGAAGGATGCGGTCTGCTGGAATGGACGAGATTACCAGGTCGACACCCAGCCGAGCCCGTGTCGCTGCACGCTGGATGACTTCTTGTGGTAAGATAATACTGCTGGTTATATACTCCTCACACATGTTATTATAGTGTGTTGTTTTTGTACTTTGTAAAACTTATTTTTTCTATCAGGAAATTATTATAATTCATGCAATGTCAAATGTCATCAAACTGCAACTTTGTAACATCACTGCTTTAAAGGACAAAACGTTTTTTATTAAAGTCATTACATTCTTATTTAAGACCATAATTCATCATTGACACAAATAATACGTATTTGTTTCAAAAACAGACACAAAAGATCAACCGTATCTGGTAATATTCTGGTTGCTGTTAGGTGTCCCTTCAGTTTTAAAAGCCTTTAACTAAAAGCGTTCCTAGATTAGAACAAACTCTGGATTTTAGATGCACAGTTTGATTTGTATGGCCAAAATGTGCAACACAACATTTCAGTTTCATTAGATTAGTTGTCTCAATGTAAGAATTAAGCCTGTTAAATGATGTTGTTTTATGTAATTAACCTGTGTGCTGACTAACACAATACCCTGCTGAGGGGGAACTGCTGACCGTGTACAGTTATTGAAAGTAGAGTTACTGCTGTTTAAGGTCTATTGAAATTAAGAACTAGGGTTTGTCATTTAAATGAGTCACACATTAAAACTGCCAATAGTTATTAAAAAGCTGTGTTACGGTATCCTTTAGTAAATGTTTCCTATAGGGTCACAATCGATTCAAACTGAATCTCAAAAAGTAGCGTGTGAAACAAAGAGTTCTTTAAGTTGTTGTTGTTCTTCCACCATTGTTTACAATCTTGTCACCTGCTGCCTCTTTGCAGTGACTTTGGATTTTACCGTAAAGAGAACAGCTCAGAGTGTGTGGAGCAGCCGGACCTGAAGGGCAAAGTGCTGGAGTTCTGTCTGCATGGGAAAGAGGAGCAGCTGCAGACCAGTGGGTAAGACACCAACCCTTTAAGACCAGCATATTTTAATGTGCCGTTGGTTATCTCACAAACAGGAAATGTCTTTCTGACAAGATGTAAGAGGAAGTTATGATGTGTTAATACTGGATCACTTTGACTCGTCTGTCATTTTCCAGTCTGCTTGATTTTTATCTTTATTTTATAATTTTGCTGTGTTTTTTGGCATGAGGTCATAAAAGGTTCATGCATCAATGAAGTTATGGAATAACATTCGACATACTGTCGTCCATTTCTTCATTTGTCACATTTAGAGAGCGTGACACGGGCGGTTGCTGTCAGGGTTTCTTTGTGTTGGAGTAGACAAGTGATGAAAATGTGGAAGTAACAGTGAAATCGTTAAGAGGAAACTGTTGATGGTGTGAATGAGTCTTGTGTTTTCAATGAGAAAGAGAAAATGCTGGACAAAAACTGCAAAGTTCATTTTTGGTAATTCCTACTGTAAGCTGTAGAGAGTTGTATCAATATAGATGAATTTATATGTAGGTTATTTTGATAAAGGCTGGACAGTTAGTGTTATGAGCATATGCCATGTTAGTCTTGTTTATGTTTGAATAGTATTCATACTGTACATTCATTTCATTTTGAACATCTTTATTATCTTTGCTTTTTAGAACAAATTGGGCCTGGAATAAAGTTAAAAACAAATAAATCTGAATGTGCTTTTCAGTCAACACTTCCAGTCATCAAATCCAACAATTATACACTTGATTGACAGATGATGACATCATGAATGTGTCTTGTGTCCACAGCTACAGGAAAATCCCTGGGGATAAATGTGAGGGGGGGCAGATGCCTGAGCGTAAAGAGATCGACCTCAGCAGGAGGTGTGTGAGCGACCTGATTGGTCCAGAACTGACGGTCAGTACCTCCACCTGCCAACATGTCTGGAAAATCTGAAGAATATAGATTTCTACCTGCTATTTTGTTTTTAAACTTGCAATATATCTGCAATCTCTTCCACAGGTCGACAACCGCACCTCCAAGTCCGTCCCCATCGTGATAACAGTGATCATCATCATGCTGCTGAGCGTTGCAGCAGGAGTGGTCTTTGTAAAGAAATATGTGTGTGGTGGCAGGTGAGTGCTTGTTTTTGCTTCCGTTTTTTTCTTCTTATTTTACATCATTTGTAGTGACCTCACATGATTATGTATTGGTCCTGCAGGTTCTTGGTTCACAGGTACTCTGTGCTACAGCAGCATGTTGAAGATAATGCTGCCGAGGGGAATGATGACCCGCTGGAGACCAACCACACTCAAAACGGCAAGATCGAGTTTCATGATGACTCAGACGAGGTACAGTGGATCCCTTTTCCCTTCACACACAGATTGAGAATATGGATACAAGGTTTTGTTTTGAAGTAGAACCAATAGCATGTGTTTTTTAAAGTTTGCTATTTACTTGATATCATTTTGACATTCAGAACTAAGAAATAGATTTATTTTTATGGTTAGAAATAGAAAAATAAATAAAAAAACAAAGGAAGCTATATTTTTGCCTTATGTTGAGGCAATGTTTTAAAGCTTTTACTGTTTGAGTCCTTATTAGAACCTTCCAGATAACACCTGCAGCAAGCAGCACGTTGCTCTTTCAACTAAAAACAGATAAAGAGTAAGGAGTCAGGACATGAGGGGATTTTTTTTTTGTTGGGTTTATTGATAATAAAAGAAAATATTTCCATGTCATGGACCTCATTTATCCTCCTGTTCAACAGTAAGGACTCTGTAGTGTACAGTCCTACTCCTTCTTGTGACTGCTCAATATGTCTAATATAAGTAATGAAGAAGTGAAAGTGAACAGAACAACAAAATAAAATAAACAATAATTATGATTTCTAATCTGATGTTCAATTTCATTATCAACACTTAACATAGATCTGTGCTTTTGATGGGAATCGTATCTGTATACTTTAATATACCAAATAAGTGTAACCACATTCAAAGTTTTTCTTCCATGGACAAAACATTTTTTTTTAAATGTTTTATTTGTTTTTTCAATTACAAATTCTTATATTGCAATTTCTTATTGCGAAGCAGCCAAAGATACTATTTGCAGGTAGATCATCATGGACAATCAGTCAGTCCACATCAGAACTCCTGGTAGAAAATAATAAAATAAATTCAGTACAAAATAATCCCTCTCAATGAAGAGTATATTGAGCAATGAGATCATTTCAAGTCTGAGCATGATGATATAACACTGATATGATTTGACCTCATAGAAGGTAATTTAAGGATAAAGTTTGGCATCAGTTTAAACGTAACCATAATGCTTCCTTGTTTGCTCTCTTGTTTTGGTTCATCATCTGCATGCTATTTTCTCTTTACACAGGACCTGCTCGAATAACCGGCACAACCTATTGTGCAAGTGAGCAACAAGTCTCCAACCCACCTCGTGGCCGGCTTCCGTTTAAGTCCTTCTTTTGTCTCCAGCTACTTCTTCCATTCACCTCCTGGTTTGTATTTAGGCCTAAGCATACAGACGAAGAGTCTGTGTCTCTCTGCTGTCATCTTTGAAGAATAATGAATGTACGGAGGCTCACTGGGATCAATGTCCCCGCTCAGAAGAATTATGAAGGTGGTCTTGTTCTGTTTGCTCTTGCTCTTTTTACTGAACTGAGTTATTTATTTGAAGGGAATGAAGAACTGATGCAGTCATTTGAGCTGCTGACAAAGCCAGAGTAATGGGGGTTTGAAGCGAGGCTAGTTGTCTAAATCTGTCACTGTTGCATTCAGGGTTCTGCTTCTTCAATTACCTGGGAGTGCTTCTGCAAATAATTCCCGCCTCTGTTGAAGATCTGTGTCCCTTTCTCCTCATGCACTTGTACATAACCCATTTGTTGCCATCATTGATGTGGTATCAATTTGGTTGGTGTTGAAAAGGTCGCTGTCGGTAGCTGGTTTTAAAGCTCTCCCAAACCACAGTCTTACTTCCTACTTTTAAGTATTTGTTGGGAAAAAATTGTGCCCCACTTCTAACCTACAAACAATCGTTTGTACATTTGAGCTTTTTAGCCCTCTCCTCCTTTGGGAACACAAGTTTTTTTTAAATCCCCTTTTGTAATCTGTATTTGGAATATAAGCCTGCATATTGTGTCCCTCCACTGCATCAAGACTCAATAAGATGCGAGTGGAAATGTCAATTTGCACCAGGTTTAATAGCAATAACATCTTTACACTGAGCGTATGGTCCATGCACGTCTAACCAGACTTTACGAAGATCTCTGATGTATGCAGTGGCACATAAACAATAATGTAAAGGTTTGGACAAATGTGTGTAAGGACAGAATTTGCTCAGAACATTGTCTAAAGCACAAAGTCCTTTGTATGTTTAATGTTTCTATTTGAACATTTTTTCCTAAATGTGAGTCCAACACTTAACGTGATGAAACGGTCCAAATCACTGTCGTCAGAAGTTGTGTTGGTAATGATTTAGTTTTTGTGCTAAGCAATGTTTGGACTACTGTAACAAAGGACTAGTTATGTTTCAAAGACACTCCGAAATGACAAATGATTCTAGTTTGATAGGAAATATCTACGATTATATTTTACATCCTATTCTTCAGTGTAATTTCATGGCAGCACAGGAGCAGTGCTGAGAAAGCAATTTAGTTATGTAAATGTTGTATAAAGCATTATGAACACTTTGGACTATTAGGAGATTAAAAAACATGGCTGCAGAAGTTGCAACACTGTTTTTGTGTTGTAATTTACGTCTGACGTGGAGAAAATCTTTTTGAAATGATAGAAAGTTCCCCATCTGTGTTTTTCACAGTAAACTGCTGTTTCTTTTGAATCCTCCTGATACTCAGTTCATTCACTAGCTGTGGTTCTCGCAATACATCTGTCTGCTTTATATTATGACGTCTTAAAGGTGTTTCTTTTCTTTTAAAGTTTTATTGCACAATTATTTGTCTACTGTGTGTTAAATAAGTTGCTTTCATAAAGGATTTATTTATTCATGACTAGCGGGTTCAGAGTGCAGTCAATTGGATGTGGTTATACAAGTGCCTGGTGTGAGGATACGATGTGATGCCCTCCCAGTGTGTGGCCAGCACCTTTTTACTGCTAAATATTTCTATCAAATTCTGTGCTACCAGCCGCATCCAGTTTGTCAGTGACATCCTGAAGTTGCACTTATTGCCTGAGATGAATCCTCGAGCTGTGAAGGAAAGGCTAGTTTCATAGGAGCTCCCATTGAGATGCATGTTAACTTCACATTATTTAAACCCACTGAGCTTTAGCTCACACGTCAACTCAAATGGAAAACACAGATTGGATACAGGGTTATAATGTAGCTGCTGCTTTACACTGGGAGACGCTAGGCCAATTCTTATTTAAAGATTTATTGCATTAAGTGAAGTTACACTTTTTTCTTACAATTGAAAACTGCTGTGTAAATGAATAATCATTGTGATGGTTCTGTAAATATACAAGGCTACATCTTTGTATCTGCTCTGTTTCTCTCTTCTGTATATTTGACGCAATTTTCTTTGGGGTTTCCAATAAATTCATATGTTCCTCTATTTCTGTTGCATGATTCTTCTTTCTCACAAACGACACTAAATTAAAGAAGCCTGGTTTATGCTGCTTACAGCGAAAATGAAAGCACGGTTACAAACACCTCACTGTGGCTTCACAACGGTGGTTTACAAAGTGGTTCTTCTTGAAGTCTGAGAAAACAGACAGTTTTCGCACAGGTCACAAAGGGGTTAAGTTACCCTTCAGTGTGACAGCTGATGTGAGATATTTCTAAGGAGACGTGAGTTAAACCTGTGGCCATTTTGTATAATCAAAGGAAAATCTTTTTATTTTATTTTTTCTGTTTAATTATTGCTGTATTCATCCTTTAATTTATAGAGGTACATGGAACAAAGTGAATAAATAAATAAATGCATAAGGGAACAACTGCAGGAATAAATGTAGTCCAAAGATGTTGTTTCGTTCAGTTAGAGTGATAATCTCTTGGCAGAGTATTGTCAGGTGTTCATATGGATTGTTAATAGTCCAACACAGTAACTCTAGATTCTGTACAAAAAATCACCCTCTACATCAAAAAAGTCACAACCAACTTGCACTACAGGTGAGGGCTTTTCCATTTGGATATACTGTTCAAGTTCTTCTTCTGTGAACACCTGTCCATCCCAGCTCTCCTCATCCTCTCCGTCATCCCCTGTAAGCATTGTTCCAGATGTTTCCACTGTGGCGTCTTTACTAATACCAGCTTTGGGCTGGATGGGCAGAAAAGTAGCAGGGACCAAACTCTTACTAGCCTCTGTGCTTCGAAGCATTAAAGTCTTATCAGACGCAGGCACCACTGCATCGGCTCCTCTTCCGGGTGGTAGCACTGCCGTTGCATGGATTCCAGGCAGCTTCAGTCTGTCTGACGCTGCCCTGTCACCTGAAGGCAACACCTGCTGGCCGAGTCCTGCCATAGATTTAGCATCCTGCTTGGCTTTTCTTTCAGGACTGGGCACAAACTTGGATCTGAGGACTCTCAGGATGACGTCAGGGCTGACAGAGAAGCCCTCAGCCAGACGCTCCACTGTCCACTCTTCTGGTTGCTCTTCCTTCAGATATCTGGGGGGGGGGGAATAACATTTCATTTGAAGACCTAGTTATAAAATTAATTTGAAGCCAGAAAATCTTTTTGTTTGAGTAGTATAAGATTAAAAAAAAAAAAAAAACACTTCCTTACCTGATTGCGCAATAGCATCCCAGGTAAGCTTCCTCTGTGGAGCTCCTGAAGGAGTCATCTGTCTTCTCAGTATGTGATATTTCACAGTCCTCTGCCTCTTTCTCCCCTCACTGAAAAAAAACATAGGAGGTGTGTTTTTCCGCATTATGCATTTAACTATAATGGGGTTTTTTTTTACACCCGGAAAACTAGTCATTCAAAACTTACTCAACCAAGGCTTGGAGCTTGTCTTCTACGTCTTCCAGACCGACTTCTTCATCGGACATCCGGTCGCTGTGTCTTGAAGCTCCATGTGATGATCTGGCTGTGTGATCGTGGCTCTGTGCCAGCCATGTCTTGCCGGTACCTCTGCTTGCAAACCGAACGCAGGTACTAGAAAAAGGCCGAGCCACGGACGGAGCTCCCAGCCTGGAGAGAAGGGAGAGGAGCTGAAAAGGCCGAGCCATGTGCGTGTGTCCTCTCTTTTCAACTTCTTGTTGTGGTAGAGGTACATAGAAAGCAACACACGCGTCTGGAGGTCAAACTGTCCACTGCTCTATTTAATGGATATATCTTAAAGCATGCCTCAAACAAAACAACAAACTGTGACTCGTACATGTACTTCCGCAAACATGGGTCAAAGGATAAAGGCGTCGGGGTAGCCTTACTGCCATCTACCGGAACGGAGTGAAGTGGGCCTGAATCCTTTGGCATGAAAATGGGTTTTAAAAATGACTTACAGTAACTGTACCACCCAGAGCACGATTAGGTTTTTATTCCTGATATTCAAATCAAATTAATGCAACAAATAGATAAATAAATAAATGCATACAACGTCGACTGTCAAACGAAAGAGAAAATACAAGTTGTTAAATGGCGACATCTGCTGGGCGCCGTGGACACTCCCCCCCCCCCCCCGCTTTGTCCCAGGATCAGTGTTGCCAGATCTCGCGAGAGAAACAAGCAACCAGCTCTATGGAAACAGGCGACCTGGCACCTCATAAAAAATTAAATGAAGCCCAACAGGTGACCTAACCTACCACATAGTGTAAAAGAGAGGCCACTTGATAGCAGTATATATATACTGCACTTTAGAAAAACAAGCCAAAAAAAACCCCCCGCAACCCGCGACTGACGATATTTGCAAGCGACTTTACAGAAAAAAAGAAAACCCCCACCCCCCAAGGTCGCTTATAAACAAGCGGACCTGGCAACACTGCGCAGGCTTCCTGTGTCACGCAGCTACGCACCTCCTCCCAGGCGCCGTTGTTTCATTTGCGCCATTTTGTCCGCTCACTTTGTTGATTGGGCTTCAGCGAGCTGTACTAGAGCCAATCAGAGGGAAACCGGACAGCGAAGAGACGGTAAGACAGACCCTATTGAAGGCATTGGTAGCTGTCAGCACGGATTGGTTTGCCCATGGACCAACCAAATTACTAACCCTTGCTAAATTACAAAAAAAACCAAAACAACAAATGGTATGGCAGTTTGATTTCAACCGCTGCGTCCTCGGTTGTTTTGTATAAAAAATAACTCTTAAATGTTGACTCCCGCGAAGAAACATGATCTCTGCTGGACTGACTAGCCTTTAGCTGATGTTAGCTTGTCGGCTAAAATACAGAGTCTCCAACAAAAAGGAGTGTCTCGTAATGTTCACGGCGCCATTCAACCTCTAGCGAAAAACACTGTAAAAGAGAAAAACACATAAAGAAACTACTGCGCGCAGTTTACGTGGTGACTTACATCCATTTTGTGCCTTCTAGTTTTATTTACCACGTTTAGCTAAGTCGTGTTAGCTCACATGTATGCTGTGCACAAAACACCACATGAAGCTTTGCAACAGCTGACCTCACTAATCATCTGCTATCATCCATTTAATAATTACAAGGTTACATTTAACATGTGACGGCCTCAGTTAGCGTGTTAGGTGATAAGGACCGTCAAAATCCCCTTTTATTTAAGTAAGAGGTCCCGCTTACGGTAACAATGGGCTGGCTATAATAATGTTAGTTGACGTTTTAGGGTTGGAAATAAAGACATTTCTTTTATTTCTGCTTCAATAAAAAAGGTCGAAAGCCTTATCTGAAATGCAAATTGTATTAATGCTGTGTAATACTGTATCCTTCTATAGTGTTAAGAGAGGATTGTGACAATAACAAGTCATGGAGCAGTACACCACTGCCACCACTACGACCGGGGAGCAGATAGTTGTGCAGACCACCAATGGACAGATCCAACAGCAGGTGAGCTATGACCCTATTGGCTGTTGCAGAACCATACCATTAACAGTTTAACCTCCTTTTGTAAGTTCACAGGTATCAGGTACACAGAAGGAGAGTGCTGCTCCAGTGCTGATTCGATAATCAGTTTATTTTTTCCTGAAAATGACTCACCTGCGACTGTGTTGTCCTGCCTTGCCTGCAGGCACAGGGCACAGTGACGGCTGTGCAGCTGCAAACAGAGGCGCCAGTGGTGACGGCCTCAGGCCAGCAGGTGCAGACACTCCAGGTAGTGGTGTCACCGCCGCCCTGTGTCAGTGCCATGATGGTGTTGCGACGTATGAGTTTGCATGCTTGACGAGGCCTGATTTCATGACCCATCGCTGTGCTGTTTGGTTCACCCTTCCCCCCCCCCCAAGCATGTCTTCCAACTGTCTGAACTGCATGTTCCTCAGCGCACTGTTCTGTGTCAACCTCTGGTTTCTGCTTGTGCTCTCATGGCTGTCAAAGCACTACTGTTTATCTGAGTTGTGTTTGAAGCAAGACACAATTCAGAATGTCACAGTTTTGTTCTTCCTGACAAAAGCCATTTGATACATGTATCACAACAGAAAAAGAGCCAGAACTGAACACCAGGGATCCATAGTCATGACCACTTGTCACGTTTCATCATCTACTTTGTGACTTTCTACTCTATGGTACATTTTTTTATAAAACAACTCACTAGTTTTTAGGATTCATCGATATGGATGAATATACCAGTTCGACATCATCGATACAAAGTGAAACATGAGATTTTCCCGTCATCATATTTATCAACAGACCTAATTCACTTTATTTAAGACAGTAGATTATATTTCGTTTACATTTCTTGAAAAAATGTAGCAAGCAAAAGTGTTGCATCTTATTTAACTTTTTTGTTTGGTTGATAATTGATAAAGAATGAAATTGGTTATACATGGGCCCCTGATATTGTCTCATACAGATTGGAGGCCCGTGAATGAAGGAAAAAAAAAAAAAAAGGGTTCAGACTCAGTGAAAGTAGCAAACATGTACAGATGTCTAAAGAAACATCAGGATATCAGATGTTGTTCATTCTTATTTATAAGCCTTTAACCGAAATTGGATCCCAGTTGTCTGTTCACACATTTATGGATCCGTGTGTGTGAAGATACACATGTAAATCAATCTGAAGGCAGCTTTTTCTCTAATTGTGTGCTTTTAAGCAAATAAAGTTTGAACCAATTTTATGTAATGCCTATTTTCATCAGCAATACTCTTGTAACCACTCTGTGTTTGGTTCATGACAGAAATACTCGAGAATATTGGGTTCAGCTTGGATCCACTGTGGACCTGTGGTGTCTTGTTTGTACACCCCAAAGCAGAAAGATTGACAACAAATCAACACATATTCATGATCTTGTGCTATCTTGGATGTGCCTGATTTCACATATTTTGCTTGCCATTGTCACACGTCAGTGATACTGAAGTAATACTGACACGTTTAAGTGCTGATGTAACGTCTTTGTAAATCCTGCAGGTCCAGGGACAGCCTCTGATGGTCCAGGTCAGCGGTGGGCAGCTCATCACATCATCAGGACAACCCATAATGGTGCAGGCCATGTCAGGAGGTCAGGGCCAGACCATAATGCAGGTCCCTGTATCTGGAGCCCAGGGACTACAGCAGGTAAGAGATTAAACTTAGTTACCACCAGGATATCATTTGTATTGCAATCATGCTGTGTTCTCCTGCACAAGGACCCAGTGTCCTCTTGGAGTAGTTCTGGTTGGGTGAGTGCAGTGGTATAGTATGAAGAGTGTATTGTGACAGGGCCTAAGTATCAGTTATAAACATGTTTCTGTTAACATGCTTTAAACTTGATTGTCTATGTAAAGAAGAATAGGTTTTTAATTAAAGAGGTATTTCTTTTTTGATGCATTTTTTAGTTCTGGTGCAAAAAACCTTATTCTGAAGATTTTTGAAACAGTGCTCGGCTGTTCTGATGCACTTGAAATGGAACAAAAAATGTAGAAAGTAAGAAATAAAATACCTTAAAGTGAATCTGTGTTGTTGTCTCTGTATAGATCCAGCTGGTGCAGCCAGGGCAGATCCAGCTCCAGGGTGGCCAGACTCTCCAGCTCCAGGGCCAGCAGGGTCAGCCCCAACAGATCATCATCCAGCAGCCGCAGACCGCCATCACTGCCGGACAGAACCAGGTTTTCAAATGATTCACTTCTTTGAGGCCTTTTCATGAGATAGAATTGTGGTTTATTGAGAGTCTTTTCTCCTTGTCTGTGATCTAACAGGGGCAGCAGATCAGCTTGCAGGGCCAACAGGTGGCGCAGACTGCTGACGGACAGACCATCGTGTACCAGCCTGTCAATGCAGATGGTACCGTCCTGCAGCAAGGTACACTCAGTTTTTCTCCTTCCTCTTGAGTCTGCCTTCTGATCTAAATACTCTATAAACTAATGCACTCTTGAGTGGTCTTTTTGAACAAGAAGTGTGATGATAATCTGTTGGCAGGAATGATCACAATTCCAGCATCCAGCTTGGCAGGCGCCCAGATCGTACAGGCAGGGGGTGCAAACACCAACACGACTAACAGCGGCCAAGGCACTGTGACCGTCACCCTGCCCGTCTCCGGTAACATGGTCAATGCAGGTGGAATGGTCATGGTAAGACCCTGTGCAGAGGTATCCAGCATCTTATTACATTTTCCTTTGTTTTTACATTTTGAATCCAAATTTATACAAGAATGTGTGATTTTTCTGTTTTCTATTTGAAACTTAACAATGATGGTGTAGAAATTACATTCAGACTTCATGTTTGTCTTTATGTCACTGATGAATCATTTGTTGGGCATCAAAAAGATGATTGAATGACCGAAACACTTTCAAAGCAGCATCACTGCAACATAAACATTTTAGTTCAGTGTCTTTTTAAGCACACTGTTGAATGCAAGGAGTATTATGAGGTCATTTTGCTCAGATGTCCACACACATGTTTTCCCTTATTGTGCTTTAATTAACTTCTCCACGTGGAATTTGCGTGTATAGACAGTTTTGTGGGGGGGGATTCTGGTTATTAATTTCTGAATGCAGTGCAGACACCTTTGAGTCCATGTGTTTATAAAAGTGTTCACATGAATGCATTCATTATTGAAGTAAAGATGTGCTACATGAATACTAAAGAAGATAGGAATAAAATAGATAAACAAGGACACTTGGCTGGATCATCATGCTTGGTGCTAAAAAAGTATTGACCCCCACACCTGATGGTGTGGCAAACATTTAGTGACTTAAGTTAACAACAGCATTGACCAACAGAGTGTTGCTAAAGACAAGAAACATAAAAAAATAATAACTTTGACTTGTAGGCAAAGTGTTG